ACTTTTGAGGGTGTGAAGACTTGGGGAATCTCCCCTGATTGGTCCTTTTGATTCATAATTCCCAGATTGTCCACCAGGTTCATTAGGGCAGGGGTGTGGAAAATCTTCCGGCCCAAGAACCAAATTCCATTTTGGAGAAGATTTCAGGGCTACACTTGCGACCATAGTCAGACTAAAAGTTCTGCATGGGGACACCGAAGGCCTGGTCTGGCTGCACAGGCTGGCTGGGTAAAAGGGAAAAAATGCAACTAATTTATGAAAAATTAGTTTCAGTTCATTTTTGATCTGAATTGAGCTTACACTTTCTGGACCAAACATGGACTCAGCTGCAATTTGCAGTTGAAATCATAAGTTCTGAGCTTGTAATGTGATTTGTAGTTCCCCCCAACAGCAGGAGCATATTTGAAAACATCTGCACAGAAACACTTCATTCCATGGGAGAAAAATGTGTACATTTCCAAGATGTGCACAATTGATGCATACATTTTAAAACATTACAGATTTTTATGCAAATTTTATTTATGTAATCTCTCAGGCTCAAGTTATGCTAGACTCTGCAAGCTAAAAACAGAATAAACCTGAAAATGACTCAGATATTTTTTTTTTTTGAGTTATTCCTGCACAGCCTGTCTGCAGCAGGAACTCTCTGTTTACATTTTCTTCTATTAAGTCTGAATGTCCAAGTTGCTGCCATGAAACAATGAGAACATGATTGCTGAAAGGAACAGAAACAATAACTATTTTCATGTGGGGGAAACCAAGCCCATCTCTAGTTTTTTCATTAATGGTGGCGCTCAAAGGCACAGAAGCACAATATCAGGGCATTGTTCCAAGGGAAGATGCAGGCCTGGATCTGAACAGAGTCTGATGCAACTTTCAAGGGCATTTTGATAAACTGATTACTGTGATCACATGTGATGTATGAGGCCTGTGGGTCCAAAAGTCCAGCATCCTGTGAAGATTTTGGGTGCAAAGGAGGGCCTGAGAAGAAACACACCAGATCTGAGTCAAGACAGAAATGCTTCACCTGCCTTCTGCATTTAATTGTTCCTCAGTTTCATTGCGTGTTACTTCTACTGTAGGTTACTATATGGTATTGTCTATTATCTCCCTCCAGCAATCTTTACCTGAAACATAGGACGCTCAGTGGAGAATTTCATTGTGTAGAGAGATTGCCAGCAACATATATTCTAGTAACATCTGTTCATGTACAAATGCAAGCTTGAGCAGTTAGGAAAGTAAGCAGAGAGGCTGGAAATGCTAGTCCTGCAGCACCGGCCCTCTGAAAGTCGCCCTCGACTTTCACATTTCTCCAAGACAGCTGCTTGCCAGTTTGTTCCAACATGAGCCAACACTGATGTGGCTGAAAAAGGCGAATGCCGTTTTGTTGTCGTCATGTGCTGCCAAGTCATCTTTGACCTCTGGTGACTCCATGAATGAAAGCTCTCCAAGATGTCCTGCCTGTGAGAGCAACTTTCTGCTCTTCCAAGTTCAAGGCGGTAGCTTCCTTTACGGATTCACTCCTTCTCTTCTTTGGTCGTCCCTTTGTCTTCTGCCTTTGACTTTCCCTGGTATGATAGCCCTCTCCAGTAAGTCTTGCCTTCTCATGATGTGTCCGAAGTAGGACATCCTCAGTTTCATCATTTTTGCTTCTAGAGAAAGCTGTGGCTGGAGAAAATTTATGCTCTATGCTATATTAGGCTACATTAAGAGAAGCATAGTTTCCAAATCATGTGCAGTGTCTGTTTCCCTCTATTTGGACCACGTTACACCATCCAGCTTCAGGCCCACAGCTTAAGAAAGATGCAGACTGGAAAAGGTTCAGAGGAGGGCAGCAAGGATGTTCTGGGGACTAGGGCACAGCCCCACCAGGAGAGAGAGACAGCACCAGGCATGCCCAGCCTTGAGAAAGGCAGACTGAGGGGGGACATGAGAGCACTTTTCAAATACTTGAAAGGCGATCACAAACAGGAAGCACAGGATCTCTTCTCAATCCAAAGTCCAAAGTGCAGGACACAGAACCATGGGCTTAAATTATAGGAAGCCAGATTCTGGTTGCACATCAGGAAACATGTCCTGACTTTGCAGCACAGACAAACGCAACCAACAACCCAAGGAAGTTGTGGGCTTTCCCACACTAGAGACATTCAGGAGGCAGTAGGACAGTGTCTGTCAGGAATAGTCTAACTGGAGTCCTGCACTGAGGAAGAGGTTGGACTTGATGGCCTTATAGGCCCCTGTGAACTCTTCTATTCTATGATTCAGTGTCAAAACTCTGGCTGGGTGCAAGCAGGGAACTAAATGTCCTGCAACAAGAAGATGAGTAGACTGTGAGGTCCCTTTCAAACAGGGATATCTGGATTTTGTATACTCATTCCATTTGCATTTCACGGATTATGAGGCGTTCAGCTTGTGATTGTGTTCAGCTGGAAAGTGCACACAAATATACAAATCCCCTCTGAATTTGCAGGCTCACACTTTAGCTGTGCTGGGAAATGCTTGTGTGGTCCACAACTGCACGGGATCCATGCAACATGCAAAGAAGGGCTCTACCGTGCAATCTGCAAGTTGGATTCGATGAAACCCAAGCTCATCTTGAGTCCGTGGTGGATTTCTCCGCCGTTCGTACCTCCAGCCCTGAGATTGTATGTGATTATCTGCTCCATGCCTTCACCTGCTCTAGTGATGCTCACACGGATTCGCATGTATTGATGAAGCAGCACCAAAGAATCAGCACCAGGTGGATGAGACACTACATCCAATTGCATCACATTGCTTTTGAATTTGTTGTTGTTGTTAGTCGTGAAGTCGTGTCCGACCCATTGTGACCCCATGGGCAACATTCCTCCAGGCCTTCCTGTCCTCCACCATCCCCCGGAGTCCACCCAAGCTCACACCAACTGCTTCAGTGACTCCATCTAGCCACCTCATCCTCTGTCGTCCCCTCCTTCTTTTGCCCTCTATTGTTCCCAGCATTACACTCTTATCCAGGGAGTCCTTCCTTCTCATTAGGTGGACAAAGTATTTGAGTTTCATCTTCAGGATCTGGCTTCTAAAGAGCAGTCAGGGTTGATCTCCTCTAGGACTGACCGGTTTGGTCGCCTTGCTGTCCAGGGGACTCGCAGGAGTCTCCTCCAGCACCACAATTCAGAGGCCTCAATCCTTTGGCACTCAGCCTTCCTTATGGTCCAGCTTTCACAGACATACATTGCAACTGGGAAAACCAGAGCCTTGACTATATGTACTTTTGTCGGCAGGGTGATGTCTCTGCTTTTTAGTATGCTGTCTAGATTTGCCATAGCTTTCCTCCCCAGGAGCAAGCGTCTTTTAATTTCTTGGCTGCAGTTCCCGTCTGTGGTGATCTAGGAAATAGTGGCTGTTTAAACCAGGGATGAGCAATGCGCACTGCGTAGCCCACACAGAGAGCTTCTGGGCCTCTTTGCAGGCCGAGTCATCCCTCCCACATCCGAATGTGTTGCTGCAATGGTGACAGCAACATAATAAATACTCAAAATCTCAAGTTTTCCGTTAAAGCAAGGAACATCTTGCTGAGAAGCAGAAATAGTTTTTTTAAAGAAAATGGTGGTCTTCCTTTTTCTGAACTGACCTAATTTTCATTTCCCAAACTAATAGACAGACTGACACAGAATTATCTGGCAGTATTTGCACTTTTCTGAACCTCTGTAAATGTTGCATTTCTGTCCTAAAAGATGGACAAATATGAGTCAATTTGGAAACATGGCACGGAAATTTGTATGAGAAAGAGCATACAAAATAGAAAACTTCCTGAACAAATGCTGATATGTAGCTTCCATATAGCCCAAAGTGCCTGATCCTGCCTCATCTTGGAAGCTAAGCAGGGTTGAGCCTGGTTGAAACCTGGATGGGTCACTGATTGTTCTGAAACACCCAGAGAGCTTCAGCTATGGGTGGTATAGAAATGCAATGAAGAATAATAATATATTGGGGAAAATGCATACAGAAATGCATATAATTTTCTGTGCCTATAAAAATGCACATATATTTCCATGCAGACCTTAAAATACATTCAGAATAACCAAAATGTTTAAAACATATTTTTATAAAGATATTTGACTTGTGATTGAAAAAAGTGAATGGTATAGAAAGTCAGACAGACACTGTTCTCCAATCGTGAAGCAAAGAGCAAAATGCAATGGGTAGCAAACCAGAGGAATGTTCCAGGAACAGAAAGTGTGAGTTCTTGTGTCTGTCTGTGTTCACCTAGTTTTAGTGGAATTCTTTGCGTTTCAACATTATGTTAGAGGACTGGGAAGGGGAAAGGGAAGGGTTGATTCTAGACAGAGAGAGCATCCGTAGGAATCTTTTGTTGCTGTCGCATGCCATCATGTCATCTCTGATTTATCATGATTCTTGACGAAACCCCACCAAGATGTCCTGTTCTTGATGGCCCTGCTCAGCTCTTGTAAACTCAAGGCAGTGGCTTCCTTTATGGATTTATTTATTATTTTATCTATTTAAAACTTTTATATGCCATCACCACATGCCTTGGCATCTTGGAGCAGCTTACAACATAGAATTAAAACAATAAAACAGTAACAAGTACAGTAAAATTATATGAAAACAAAACCAAAAAACAAAAAAGTGACTGTTAACCATAAAATTAATTTTTAAAATAGCCATTAAATAAAAAGGTTTTAACCTTGCGCTGAAAAAAATATAGACTCGGTGCCAGGCACACCTCTCCAGGGAGCGCATTCCATAATTTGGGAGCCACCACAGAGAAGGCCCTACTCCAGGTAGTTGTTCTTTTTATCTCCTTTAAAGAGGGCTCCCGGAGCAGAGCCTCTCCCACAGATCTTAAGGGGCATGAGGGCATGTAAGGGAAGAGGCGCTCCTTCAGATATCCTGGCCCCAAGCTGTTCAGGGCTTTATAGGTTAAAACCAGCACCTTGAATTGGGCCCGGATTTCAACTGGAAGCCAGTTTTGCTGGTAGAGGACTGGCGTTATGTGAGAGTAACGGCTGGACCCCGTCAGCAGCCTGGCAGCTCTATTCTGTACCAGTTGCAATATCTGGACCGTTTTCAAAGGCAGCCCCACGTAGAGCGTGTTGCGGAAATCCAAGCGGGAAGTTACCAGAGCATGTTTCACTGTTGCTAGGGACTGCTCTGTCTAGGAGTGCTCCGACGGGATTTGACCCGTCTCTTTCTTGCTCTTCTTCTTTTTCTTCTGCCTTCAATTGTGATCTTCTCTAGTGAATCGGAATCGTAGACTTAACTCATTGTTAAGTCAAGCTAACTCATTGTCTCACTGTTTTCCATGGTTCTTCTCCAAATATGATTGATTGAGGATCCTGCCTGATTATAATGCATGCAAAATTATTTGCATTTCTCTGCTGGTGTCACATGTGTTCCAAGGAAGGGGTCTCATGTGCATGAGCATTCTGATGTCCATTTCTGGCAATCAATCTCCGTGATGGATCCATTGTAGGTTTTCCCACCCAAGCCGGCTTGCACCGGCTTGCAAACTTGCAAACTTGCAAACTTTTCCCACCCAAGTTTGACCTGGCTTGCAAAGTCATTATACAAGAAGGGGTGGATATGTGAAGATGCAATTTTCTTTCGATGCAATTTTCGGCAATATGGACATGCGCGATGCTGCTGGAAAATAATAACAGCTTTGCAGCACAAAGCACAAGGCCTTTGCGCGAGCACCTCATAAACAGCTCTGGCACTGGGACATAACAAACGCAGCTTTCCTGAGAAAAATGGGGTCAAGAGAAGATTATTGTAAAGAGTAAGGGGGATGTTACTGCCACTTTCAACCACTTCTCACAGCCACCTGCAATAATTACAGCAGCGTTTTCTCAGCAGCTGAAGAATCCCAGGGGCATTGCATTGTATTAACTCCGTCTGCAAACGCTGCAGATACGGAACGCAATATATGAAATTTCTCACGTAAAGTCTGCATTTATTCCAGCACCACAAGCTTCCATTCATATGCTTTTAGGGGTATTTCACACAGCCAGACTGACCAGTGGGGAATGTGGAGGTGAGTAGGGTGTGGAGAGAAATGCATCTGATGTACAGATTAATGAGAACGTAATCCATAGCACAGTTATGTGAATCGAACTTGCTATCCTTTGGAATCTGCATTATCCCAAATGTTGTAATGGAGTTTTCCAATTAAAAAAGCACCTATTAGGGAAAAGTTGTGCACAAAACTGCATATATTCATAGAAAGAACATTGAAAATGCATGATAGGAGGAAAAATGTTTGGAGAAAATGCATGCATTAGAGTTTAATGAATGCAGATCAGCAGTCCCCCCCCACCAAAAAAAACAACCCTTCTAAGTGAGGTTCTTCTGTCCGTGGAAGGCAGAGATGGTGGCAGGTGGTGGGGGGAAACCTGTTTAATTTTGTCCCATTTTAGCACTCGCAGCCAGTGTGACACAGCCGGTGGTGTGGACTGGGAAGATCCAGGTTTTACTCCCCTCTCAGCCATGGACCTTGCTGGGTAACTCTGGGCTAGACACAGTCCAGCTCTCAGCCTAACCTACCTCATAGGGCTGTTGTTGTGAAGATAAAAAGGGCAGAACTTTGTAGGCTGGCTTGGGTTCTTTCCAAGGGGAAGAAACGTGATGTATAAATGTTATACTACTAATACTAATAGCAATACCATTACTAATACTAATGCTACTAATAGCACATTCAATTAAAGAAATAAAAGAATTTTGACCTTGTAAGATACTTTTGCAAGTCATTATCTTTTCTGTCTTGAGCTTTGTGAAACCTTTGCCAGATAATACATAGTAAGCCCTATTTGTCAGTAAGGAGAGAGAAAAAAGTCAATTTGGGTAGTCCACAGTCAAACAATGCCTTTATAATTCCACCCAAAAACAATCAAAAATTGAGCAAAAATTTGAAATCTTTAGGTATTTTCATCAAGCAAGATATTTCAAGAAGAAAGCCTGGAAGTCATACTTGCACTGAGTAAAATGGACACTAGTTTATTAGCAGAGGCTTTAATTAAGTTCAGTGTCATGATAGTTTTTCTCTTGCAAAAGCCAAAACACCTCTCTCTCTCTCTCTCTCTCTCTCTCTCTCTCTCTCTCTCTCTCTCTCTCTCTCTCTCTCTCTCTCTCTCTCTCTCTGGCATGCATATATGGGGGAGGGAGGGAGAGAAAGAGAGAGAGAGAGAACTGGCAATAATAGTCTTTAATCCCCTAAGGGAAGGGGAGAGAGCTCCTTAATGCTTTCCAGTGGCATGCTCTTGGAAAAATACCTTCTGAAAAAGATCAGCTAGTGTAAGTTTGGAAACGAGATCTCATGCCCTTTTCTCCCACCCACCGCCCTCCACAAATGCCAAGTGTCTGGCCCTGAGCAATAATGAGCATGCAGCTAATATCGTATTAAGCATGTGAGCTGCATGCAGATGTCAGCTGCCCAGGTTTTGCAGATTCTTCATTTCAGTTGTTTCACCAAATTATAGTCCCCTGAGCAGCTGACGCATCCCTGCTCATTGCCCTTGCAAGAGCTGCTGAGCGACCCCAGCCTCCGTTTCTAGCTCAGAGCAGGGCTGGGGGTTGCCCCTACATTTGCACCGAGCTTGGAGAAAATTTGCAAGAATGGTGAGTGGACTTTCACACAGCCCCATCTCCAGCCCCGGAAGAAGGCTGGCCTTTTCTGTTCTGGTGGTGGATACACAAGCCCCCGAAAATGGCCTCTTTCTATATCCAGGCTCCAAAGTGTGGAAGTTGGAGAGTTAAATAAGAGATTGTTGTTGATCTGTTAAGAAGCCGCAGGATGACTGAGGCCGCAGTTCTGTGCATCTTTATCTGGATGGAGAGCCAGTGTGGTGTAGTGGTTAAGAGCATGGGACTGGGACTCAGACGATCTGGGTTCTAGTCCCCGCTCAGCCATGGAGCCACCTGGGTGACTTTGGGCCAGTCACAGACTCCCAGCCCAACCTACCTCACAGGGTTGTTGTTGTGGGGAGAAGATGGAGGAGGAGAATGATGCAAGCTGCCTTGAGCCCTTCGTAGGAAAAAGGCAGGATATAAATTGAAAAAAAAAAATACATACACCGAACAAATGGGATCTGATCCCGTGTTGGCCTGCATGGAACTGCACAAAGGGAGAAGGGCTTGGCAGCCAGAGAACCCCACCGGAAGGTAGCTGCCGCCTTTAAACAAGCAGTGCAAGATCACCTTCATGTTGCAAGAAGCTTGCATTTTCAGAAAGCTGCTGTGCTAGCCACTTCTATTTTGAAGGGGAGGGGACACATGAAATTAGAAGACATGGGCCCCCGTCTGGAAGCCCAGAAGCTCAGTCCAGTGATTACTTTCAGGCTCATAAGGAAGCTGTTTTTTGGTTGAAATCTGGATGGTGCGATTTTTCAAGCACTGTTGATCTTTTACCTGATGGGATGCAAATTTGAAAAGGGAAACTCAGATCAGAGCGACTCTTAGCAGTTAAGCGGAGCTACTGAGAAAAAAAGCAGCCCAAGAGTGGCAGATAGCGCCAATGTGAGAGGGGCAGAGTATTTATTTTATTTATTTATTTAAAACTTTTGTATACCGTCCCATCACAGACATCTTGGGACAGTTCACAATAACAACAATAAAATAAGATAAAAATAAAGTAAAAGCAGCATAGCATCCAATATTAAATGTAACTGTAAAACCACATATTAAGATAAATTAACAATTAAAATAGTGGGAGAAGAGAAAGGGAAAAGAAAGAAGCATTGGCATCAGGCGAACCTCTCCGGGGAGCATGTTCCACAATCGGGGTGCCACCATCTCTTTCAAGGGCGGCTCCCGGATAAGGGCCTCTGCCTCAGATCTAAGGGAGCATATAGGGAAGAAGGAGCTCCTTCAGGTATCCAGGACCCAAGCCATTTAGGGCTTTGTAGGTCATCACTAGCACCTTAAATTGGGCCTGGATTTCAACTGCCAGTGTGGTGTAGTGGTTAAGAGCATGGGACTGGGACTCAGAGGATCTGGGTTCAAGTCCCCGCTCGGCCATGGAGCCAACTGGGTGACTTTGGGCCAGTCACAGACTCTCAGCCCAACCTACCTCACAGGGTTGTTGTTGTGAGGATAAGATGGAGGAGGAGATGTAAGCTGCCTTGAGCCCTTTGTAGGAAAAAGGCAGGATATAAATCCAAAAACAAACAAACAAATCCAAAAAACAAACAAACAAAACAAACTGGTAGCCAGTGTAGGCGATAGAGGGCCAGCGTTATATGTGAATACCTGCCAGTCCCCATTAGTATCCTGGCAGCTCTGTTCTGAACCCATTGAAGCATCTGGACCGTCTTCAAGGGCAGGCCACGTACAGCACGTTACAATAATCCAGTCAGGAAGTTGCCATAGCATGGGTCACCATTGCAAGGCATCGCTCACCCAGGTAAGGATGCAGTTGGTAGACCAGCCGAAGCTGGAGAAAGGCACCCCTCGCCGCCGCCGCCCGCTGAGATTCCAGGGACAGCTTCGGATCGAGGAGCACTCTCAAACTGCGCACCCTGTCCTTTAGGGGGAGTGCAACCCCGTCCACAACAGGGCAGATGGATCCCCTCTGGAGGGTATTTCCAAGGAGCTCTCCATGGTGCTGAAGCTTAAAAGTTGGTGCAAGGGACTGTTCAGTGGGGAAATGGCCCAGCATCCCAAATTGCATCAACCTGATGCTGTGAACATCGATCCCGCAGTCCCTTACTGTGCTTGAGATGGTAGCGGCCCATTGACGCACACTTTTTAATCCCATATTTATCATAATGTCCAGCAGGTGCCTCAACATTTTGAGAGTGTTATGGGAACTCTCACAAAATGGCTGCCATGGGGTAGGCTTGCGCATCCAGAAAATGGCTGTCATGGTGGACAGGGCTGGTCGCAGAATGCACACTGTTGAGACTAAATGGAAAGTAACCTGTCTGAGAATCAAGCGCAAGGCAGAGGTGAGCTCCGAGGTCCATGAGTACACCGTTGATATCTCGGTTTCCTGCTCCAACACTCATTGCAGCAAAACAAATGGATGAGGTGTGGTGACAAGGAACGTGGCCCTGAAAATGAGTGCAAAGCAGATGTGGGCTCTGAACCTTTGTGTAGCATTTTTTGGGAAATGTGGCTGGGGAGTGATATCCTAGTTGTGGTTTTCCTTGCTCTGATCCAGCATGGCCCTTCTTAACTGCTGTGAGAAATTTCACCAATCCAGCTCCCAGATGATCTTCCTCAGCATATAAACTTCTGCTTCAGGTAATATCTACTGCCAAAGCTAAAACGTGTGGTTTTATTCTGGGAGTTAGTTGTATCAATAGGTTTTCGGTTCTTCGTTTGTTTTTCCTATGGTTAACTTGACCCCTTAACAGAACCTGGCCTATTTCTCTTTAGGCAAAAATCCAGTAGCAGCAACCCTTCAGGTAGAATGGAAAACCAGACAAGTATGCCACACCTTTAATGCACAATTTCTTAAGCAATGTCACAGTGAGCTTCTACAACCACCCAGGCCTTTCCATAGACCATCAAGGCATGGAGGTGGAAGCTGGAGCAGATGGGAAGGCGGAAGGTGAGGGGTTTTGTGCAGCTGTCCAGGCTGGTCAGGCCCTGACATGCCACTTGCAGTATCTACCTAGCCGGGCTGACCTGCGTCTCACCCAGACTGGCCACTGGATCCTTCTAGCAGAAGGAACCACAACAGCTCCTTCCACATCTTGCTGTATCCATTGGTTGTTCTTCAGTCCCCAGTTCTCTTTCCTGGGTCGTCCTTGGTCCTGCCTCCTGCCAAGTCCTGGCTTCCACCTTCATTTCATGGCTCCTGGCTCCCCTTAGGCACTAAGACACTCAGTGAAGCTCTCAAGAGGCAGTGGAAATGCTGGGGGAAGGAGACAATATCAGAAAACATCCATTCTGCAGGCTGTAGATGTTGCTGCCTTGCTCTGACGAAGTCGCAACAGAGCTAAATTTGCCTAAATATTTAGCAAAGCCCAAATCAAGTATTGCTTTAAATCTCTCTCTCTCTCTCTCTGAATGCGTCTGCTCAAAGTCAGGATATGGTCTCCGTCTCCGTCTCCCTGGTGGCACACGCACCAGATGCGGATGACTTGCACTTTGATTACATTAGTCAATTGTGATGAAGCATCCCATCTGAACTGCAAACACTGGTGCAGAACCTCAGAAATTCAGCCCCAGAGTTTCTCTTCAAACTCTGGCCCTCAGGGCGAAAGCGGATCGTCCAGGGGTCCCTTCTGCCCAGCTTCTCCAGTAACTAGTCTGCATGGGCATGGTGCCGCCAATAACAGAGGTAGCACAAAGCGTCTTCTCCAGTTTCTCCTCCCCAGGGCTAAGTTTGAACACCTCTATCATGTCTCCCCTTAATAAGGCAAACAACCCCAGCTATTGCAAAAGTACTTCATAAGGGAGCCGTTCCAACCCTTTAGCTGCCCTTCTCTGTGCCTGTTCTAACTCCGTAATGTCCTTTTTCAGGTGCAGGAATCAGAACTGGACACAATATTATTGAGGGCACAATATTCTTGATGGACATCTCGTGAAACTATCGATTCAAAGAAAACCAGGGGAATCCTATGCTTCGTCCCAGATCTTCGTTGGCTTTGTCATAGCTGAATGAGCATTTCTTCCATTTCTCTGCGGATGGTTTTAAAGTTGTGCTGTCAGAATGAATATCCATCACTAACCTCCCCAGGCACTAAGAATTCCTCACCTGATTCTCAGATATTGCTTAAGAAGCAATACTTGCCGCAGGTGAATTTCAGTCTTGCTGCAGTGACCTTCCCCTCTGAAATGCAGACCTAAATGTTCAGGAAATGCTGGCCAAGTGACACCAGAGGCCTGTATTCCCTGGGGCTTGCCAAGCTTCTCTGAATTTTGCAGCCATCTGGGACATTTACCCCTGAAACTGTTGTGAGGAAGTTCAAATCAAAGCAGGTTGGATTTCTGAAGGGTATCTTCTTCATTAGGATTTCTGCTGCCTCAGCTAGTTTTCTCCATGCAGGGAGAGCGGTGCAAAGGCCGAGCTATTTTTGCTGTGTTCCAGACTGTGTTCCAAGGAACACCAGGGCTCCTTGTAGCTTCAGGAGTTTCTCAAGGAAAAGGTTAGTACAGACAAACAAGATTCCACCAAGGCACTAGGAAGGGGCTGTGTCGGCAAGAGAGCAGCAAGTTCGCCCCTCGGCCCCTTCAGACAACCAGGGGTTGGGAAGCACGCACTTAAAATCTCCCCCTGCCCCGCTTCACAGCTGCTTGTACTTTTCGGCATGTCCAAGCCAGCAAGCAGATTGAAAAGCAGAGGAAGAAATTTTCTGTGCAAGTGTTGCATTTTAAACTCATTTTAATCATAGCACCAACATGACTCCGGGAATAAATGGGCTTTGCTTCTTCTGCCCTGCTGCTAAACACATTTACTGGGGAATCAGATCTATTTTCGTGCACAAGGGAAGCATATATTTTGAACGGTAAAAATGATGAAATACATAACTGCAATCATATCCTGGTTCCCCCCCCCCCCCACCGTATTTTTAAAGCAAAAAGAAAGATAGAAAGAATGTCAGCCATGGTGGTTCCTGGAATGCCTGTCCCAGCCCAGGTGCTCACGCCGGGTCCACTGCCGCTGTCTCCATCGTCTGCCATCCCACTGCGCTTTGAGGCCGTGGAGCACAGCGCCCAGCTCCATCCATAGATGCACCACTGTTTACTGGATCACAGAGTGCATGTCTCTGTGTGTGAGAAAGTGTGTGTGTGCATGTTTATTTTTTATTTATTTTTATTTTTATTTTCCAATTTATATCCTGCCTTTTTCCTACAAAGGGCTCAAGGCAGCTTACATCATTCTCCTCCTCCATCTTATCCCCACAACAACAACCCTGTGAGGTAGGTTGGGCCGAGAGTCTGTGCCTGGCCCAAAGTCACCCAGGTGGCTCCATGGCTGAGCAGGGACTAGAACCCAGATCGCCTGAGTCCCAGTCCTGCGCTCTTAACCACTACGCCACACTGGCTCTCATGTGCATGTGCATGGGAGGGAGGGAGGGAGGGAGGGAGGGAGGGAGAGAGCATGTATGCAGGCAACAGACTAATCCCAAAATATATTTAGAACTAAGCATCTTGGCTTCCATATAGGTGAACAGCTCCAAGTATGTGGATCCAGAAATGTTCCTTTCTGTGAATCTGCGGGACAATATGCAGATGGAGAAGGCAGGGTTCACTGGAGAAGACCATCGTGCTTGGGAGAGCGGAAGGCAGAAGAAGAAATGGAAGACCGGCTTTGAGATGGGTTGAAGCCACAGCCTTGAATTGCGAGAGCTGGGCAAGGCTGTCAAGGATAGGACTTTCTGGAGGGCTCTCATCGTGGGGCTGCCATGAGTCAGAGACATCCTGAAGGTACATAATAGCAAAACAGGCAGGTGTATTAAGTACGTTCACTTCGTTGCTGCTGTAGCTTTCCCCTCCAGAACTTTCAGTCCATGCAGTTTAATTTGGAGGACAACTCCGTCTAAGAAGGTGTAAAGCAATTCTTTTGTATGACTGCACTGAATGTATACCCTGCCTTTTATTCTCTTGTGAGCAACTCAAGGCAGTTCTCATAGTCCTTTCCCTTTTCAAGTATGAGCTGATGAGATGTGAGCTAGTGGAAACTGAGCAAGAGAGAGATCTTGGGGTCATGGCGGCAGCCCAGTGAAAATGCCAGCTTAGCGTGTCACTACTGTGGAAAAAAGCAAAGTCCATGTTGGGCCTCATTAGAAAAGCCATTGAAACTGAAACTGCCAGTGTCATGTTTCCCTGATACAAGTCTTTGGCATGCCCTACTTAGAATATTCTGTACCTTTCTGGTCACTGTGCCTGAAAAAGGACATTGTAGAATTGGGAAAAGTGCAGCAAAGGGCAACGGCGATGAAAAAGGGGCTGCAGCAAGATTCATATGAGGAAAAGTTGCAACAGGAGATGGTATCGTTTAAAGGGAAAGTGTGAAGGAAAAATGTGATAGAAGTGTACAGATTTATGCGTGATGTGGAGAAAGTGTGGAGGGAGACCTTTGTCTCCCTCTTCCATAATGGTAGAATCTGGAGTCAACTTGCGAAGCTGATTGCTGGGAGATTTATTTATTTATTTATTTATTTATTTATTTATTTTTGGATTTATATCCTGCCTTTTTCCTACAAAGGGCTCAAGGCAGCTTACATCATTCTCCTCCTCCATCTTATCCCCACAACAACAACCCTGTGAGGTAGGTTGGGCTGAGAGTCTGACTGGCCCAAAGTCACCCAGTTGGCTCCATGGCCAAGCGGGGACTAGAACCCAGATCGCCTGAGTCCCAGTCCCATGCTCTTAACCACTACGCCACACTGGCTCTCTAGGACAGTTTAAAGGAAATTCAGGACAGTTTAAAGGAAGATTCAGGACAGTTTAAAGGAAACCCTCCTCTACACAGGGCATAGTTAA